TGTGTGTGTGTGTGTGTGTGTGTGTGTGTGTGTGTGCCCACATGCATGCATCTTCAGGGCCAGAGAAGGACATTCGCTCTTCTGTTTTATCTCTCTGCCTTATTGCCCTGAGACAGGATCTCTCAATGAGCCTGGCACCAGGCTCACTGCCAGCAAACCCACCAGTGACCCTCATGTCTCTGCCCAATTCCCCATGGCACCTAGTGTCACAGCACTCCGTAAGTGGTCATGGTTGGGTTTTTATGTGGATGCTGCTGGGGTTCAAAGCTAAGTCCTTATGCTTTCAGAGCAAGGCTTCTTAGCCACTGAGCATCTCTCTATCCATTACAGCTCAACCTTTGTATAAGTATCAGGAGAAGAGAAACAAAGACCTGTGTGTGGGGAGGGGGAGCGCCAGAGCAAGCAGAAAACCTGTGTCAGCCGAAAAGGGCAGGAGGCAAAGATAACAGCGGCAAACGGGAATTTTTAAGAGCGCCTCCTACCATGTCATGATCATTTTACTGCTGAGCGTGAGAGCACTGGCACAGTTCTGAGTGAGATAAACCCCGCTGCAATGATTCGAACTACACAGGAAAAGAAAGAACGTGGGGTTACAGCTGAGAGGACCGAAAACGAGAAGCTCACAAGGCGGCAAGGGGAAACTGAGTGTAGCAAGCTGATGATCAGCACATCTCCTAGGAGGAACCTGGGGATCTTCTCAACCAAGGGAGACGGCAAGTAAAGGAGTACACAGGCAGGAACACAGAAACCTAGGCAAGGTCTAATAAACTAAATCTGATTAGATAAGAGCCCTTCCCATCATTTAATTGACATTGGTTTAGTTTACTATATTGCATGGAGGATTTAATCATTTCTTTTCAGTCTCATGGATACTAAAAGATTCAGGAGGAAACCTGGGCTCAGGTCTCCTTTATGTCATACTATTGGGGGGACATGGAACTGTTTGCTAAGCTCAATAGACTCGATACTCAACAACAGTTGTTCACAGCTCAAGAGACTTTCTAAAGTGCAGATGGGTTTCTTCGTTTCAAGAAGTAAAAGGAATGCAGGGTAAAGAACAATAACAACGAAGATTTTTTGGGGGGGATTCAGAACTATTTATAGACTGTTTATTGAGACACACACATTTAGTTGTGTTACCAACCTACACAAAACAAAACCGGATGTTTTAGTCTGCTAATATTGAATACCCCACCCCCTCCAATCATAGGATAAATGCCTTTTGGCTGGGGAAGTAGGGAAGAGGGCAGAAGAACGGGAGGAGAGCATGAGGGATCTAGAAGGTCAAGCTGGGGGAAAGACAGAGAGGAAGAGTAAGGAAGGAGGTACCTTGATAGAGAGAGCCATTGTGGGGTTAACAAGAAACCAGGGATCCACCAGGATGACCCTAGCTAGAAATCTACGTAATAGTGGAGAGGGTCCCTTAAATGCCCTTCCCTTGTAATGAGATTGATGAGTATCTTGAATGCCATCCTAGAGCCTTCATCGGGCACCTGATGAAGCAGAAGCAGAGATTCACAGCTAAGCACTGAGATGAACTCTGGAGTCCAGTTGTTCAGAGGGAGGAGTGATGAGCAAAGGGGTCAGGACCATATAGGGGAAACCCATAGGAACCGCTGACCTGAACAAGTGGGAGCTCAGGGACTCCAGACTGACAGCTGGGGAACCTGCCGAAGACCGAACTAAACCCCCTGAATGTGGGTGTCATTTGGGGGGCTTGGACAGTCTATGGGGCTGCTGGAAGTGGAATAAAAAATATTTATCCCTAGTGCAGGAACTGGCTTTTTAAAGCCCATTTCCTATGGAGGGAAACCTTGCTCAGTCAAGATACACTGGGGAGGGCCTCGGTGCTGCCCCAAATGATGTGACAGACTTTGTCCATCCCCCATGAGAGGCCTCGGCCTCTCTGAAAAGTGGATGGGGGTGGGGTGGGGAGATGGTGCAGGGCACAGGAGAACAGGAGAGAGAGGGAACTGGGTTTGGTATGCAAAACAAGATTTTTTTTTTTTTTTTTAAAGTCATGGCTGGGGTAAAGCACAGCTCAGTGGTAGGTAGGGCGCTCCCATATGACTATGAGACCCTGGGTTTGATTCATACCCCCTTTCTAACAAAGTCTTAAAAGTCCATCTGAAAACATAGTGCTCACAGCCAACACATTACACAGTGTATGATCCGACCAATCCAAAATAAGGGGTAAAGGTATCTAGCTTCAGACATAACTCTGAAAATCCTGGTAAGGATCAACTTGGTTCATCTGCCAAGTACACCACTCAGTGAAATCAGCAGATCTTAAGAGTTAATTTCAACTGGAGTCTACGCATTTCACTGAGCCCTGACACCCTCCTTCCTCAAGCTGGGCCACTTATTCTAGCCTTTTATAGTTAATTTTTCAAACCACAATTCAAGTACCAGATTTTTTAATTTGCTCTATTAATTTTAATCTTGTTAGTGCTGGCTCATCATTCCAAGCTGTCAAGATATATTTAATTGATTCTCTCATTTGGCAAACTTGCTACTTTTCATAGTGTTGTGATAGCTGTTTTTTTTTTTTTCTACAAATCTTATTCTCATTTTAGACACTGAAAGAAGCAAAAGCTTGCGACAATATTAGATAGAAAAAATCTCCTGCATGCATTACTAGGAATTAGTTAATAATCCTTGTCAACTCTGGAGAAGGGAGTTCATTTAGCTGCATTCTACACTCAAGGAGCCTGAATCCTCAGCAATGATCACCTTGCTAAGAGCCACACAGCTAGACTGAAGAGATGAGACGAAAATATCATTTATTTCAAAATGCTATGCATATTTCCCTAGAAAGTCAGTCTCTAGGTGACACAGACTCATTTTATTATTGTGTTTTCCTAGCTATATAGCTGAAGGAGGCTGTTTTAACCCAAGTAAAAGGGGAAAAAGTGATGTTCATAAAGCATATGAACAATATCCTCATTTATAAACGAAGATGTAACAGAAACATTCCCATGAGTGTGTCAGAATTGCATTTTGTCACTTATAAATACTTGCATTTGGATTCACTTGATAGAGACTCTTCTAGGGGGACAGAGCCTAAATTCATTTAGACACTGCCGCAGTTTCTACATTATTTTTACAAATGCATATCTAGTATCGGAAACCTCACACTGGCTCAAGGCAGCCTCCAAGCATATCAAGGCTTCCGAGCAGGTGACTCACAACAGCAAATATGCCTAGGCCTCTGGGTGTGTTGAATTTATCCACAAGGAACAGACATGGACATGTTCTGCAGTTCAGCTTACTCTCTCGGTGACTTCTAAAGGAAAATGTCCGTCTTAAAAAACTGTTCAGATGTCCCTAGGAGTAGCCAGAACATGCAACACTGCTGTCCTCTGCCCTCCCATGCCAGGAAGAAAGCAGTTTTGAGTCTTTTAGGCACTTTGTGCATAACTTGCTTTTCTCATTTGAACTAATCTACAGCTTTTTCCTTCAGAAATGTGAGCTCATACTGGGCGTTGGTGGTGCACGCCTTTAATCCCAGCACTCAGGAGGCAGAGGCAGCCGGATCTCTGTGAGTTCGAGGCCAGCCTGGTCTCCAGAGCCAGTGCCAGGCTAGGCTCCAAAGCTACACAGAGAAACCCTGTCTCAAAAAACAAAACAAAACAAATAAACAAAAAAAAAGAAAAAAGAAAAGAAAAGAAAAGAAATGTGAGCTCACAGGTAATGTGTCTGTGTGTGGGGAAATAATGTTACATTTCTAACCCCCTTCAGAAGATAACAACAAGTGTATTTTAATTACCATGACACTAGCTTCAAAGAAAAGCTAACAGTTGCAAATAAGTGGAGATTTTCCCTCGACAAGAATACTAAATGAAAGCTGGGTTTAGTGGCACAAACCTTTAATCCTAGCACTGGGGAGGCAGAGGCAGTCAAATCTCTTTGAGTTCGAGGCCAGCCTGGTCTACAGGGCCAGTTCCAGGACAGCCTCCAAAGTAATACAGAGAAACCCTATCTCGAAAAACAAAAACAAACAAACAAAAGAATACTAAACTAATAGAATGAGTAAGAGGGGAGACAGGGAATATAATCTGTAGAAAGAAGAAAATAATTTAAATCCACAAAAGATGAAAATAACATAGTGAGGAGAAATTCCCAACAGGATCTAAATGTATTAAAATGGGCTTTAAAGGGTTCCAGTTTTGATCTCTCACTCTCATCAGCTTCACTAATATGTGTGTATGTATGTGTACGTGCGTGTGCGTGTGCGTGTGTGTGTGTGTGTGTGTGTGTGTATGTATGTGTACGTGTGCGTGTGCGTGTGCGTGTGCGTGTGTGTGTGTGTGTGTGTGTGTGTGTGTGTGTGTACGTGTGCGTGTGCGTGTGTACGTGTATGTGTGTGTGCGTGTGCGTGTGCGTGTGCGTGTGCGTGTGTGTGTGTGTGTGTGTTGTGTGTGTTATTTTCAATTGAAAAGTTTCATATCATGCCTCACACAGTGAGAATAAGAGATGAGAACAACTAAAGACCCAAACTATTTCTTGCATGGCTTGCAGGATTTTGGCTACAAAGAGGCATGAAGACCAAGTTTCTAATGGTCACCTACTTCTGTGTGATCTTCACAGGACATGCATTAAATAGGGTGGAATTCTGAAAAATTATCTCAGAGGTTATACAGACTGAGTTTTGGCACCAACAAATTTGCTCAGTTTTAAATAGAATTGTGATAGTGTTAAGATATTAGGCTTTCAGAATTCACAAAATGTAAAGAATACACAGTCACAGGGTATTTTTAGTGGCTTTGTGATCTTATGAAAGGCAATTCCATATATTATCAATCTTGATAGTCTCAGCCCAGAAAAACAGAGTTTGTATACATTGTATTGTGTAGCAAATAAAGGAATTGTTTGCAAATATGCGATTCTTAGTCTTTAACACACACATCACGCTAGTATAATTAGAACATCTAAGGATAAGTAGGCATTTCCGGTTTCAGTCAATCAATATTTACCTTGTGTTTTCACTGGATCTGATATTTGGCTTGGATCACTAATCCCATATGCATTAGCTGCCCTCACCAGGAAAAGGTATATTGCATTAGGTTTGAGTCCTTTGATGGCAAATGTTTCTGTTTTCACATTTTCTGCCACAGTCTGCCAGCTGCTGCCAGATGCATGGCTAAGGATGGATGCATAAGTTAGAATAAGAACTCTGGATGCCAAAAAAAAGAGGAAGAAAAAAGGAGAGAAAGAAAGAAAGAAAGAAAGAAAGAAAGAAAGAAAGAAAGAGAAAGGAAGAAAGAAAGAAAGAGAGAAAGAAAGAGAGAGAGAGAGAGAGAAAGAAAGAAAGAAAGAAAGAAAGAAAGAAAGAAAGAAAGAAAGAAAGAAAGAAAGAAAGAAAGAAAGAAAGAAAGAAAGAGTGAGCAGCATGCAAGAAACCCCCTCTCTCTACCTGAAGGCTTCTATAATATAAGATGTTGGTGTTGCTCCTGAGTTCAAGTTTGGCTGCCATGATAAAGTTACTGTGTTTTTGCTGACATCTGTAACTTCAGGCTTTGAGGGGGCACTGGGGATTAAATTAGGGTCCGTGGGTCTTGGAGGTTGAACTGGAACTCCAAATTCTAACAGATGTGAAGGGAAGAAAACAAAAATTTACACATATACAAACTGGTACATGAATGCAGGTAATACATTAACTTGTCTCTCATGGACCAGGCCATTGTCTTTCCTTATCAAAAGACAAGGCATGGGCTTACCCTGAACTTCAATGTAAGCACTCCATGTTGCCTCCCCACTGGGGGTTGATGCAGTGCAGGTGTACCGGCCAGTGTCCCCCAGCTGTGAAAGCAGATGGAAAAGAAATAGTTGGAACAATCAAGAGCTTGCTGGGCTGGAAAAACAATTACAGGTTTGTATATGGTCCATGAATATGGATACCTACATTAAAATCTGCTAACCAGAAATGTCCCTTTAATTGAATACATTTTTCTTGAAATGTGAAGGAAAGTACTGCATGAATACAGAAATACACAGCCTTTATTTGGTTATCCTAACTTTGCAAACTAAAAAAAAAAAACAAAAATTATCTGCAATGCTTTAACAGACTAGGTTTAGCAACAAAGATTAGAGACAAGCATATTATATTGTATCCTCTTAATTTACTCACCTTATCCAGCCTCTTGTTATAAAACTTGAGTTAGTCACAGAAGTAAAAACAAAACCCTTGATGGAAAGAACACTCTCTCTTCTGAAAACTGAATCCTAACATTTAAACCCTGGTTCAACTTAAAATTCAGGAGTGGTATGATAAAGCCATACACTTCTGCTTAATTGAACAACTCTTTTTTTTTTTTTTTTTTTCTAAATATCATTGCCATCGGGGCTCTGGCCATGCCAAGAGCAAAGGGCAACAGTGGCCATAAATAACTACAACACACTAACTTTGGTGGTACACAAAACCAAAACTCCAAAGAAGCCACCCACAAGACAGAGCCCGACAGCTGAAATGACTGTTGATTGCAGCCTAATATTCTTGTTTCATGTCTCAAAAGTCTGACCGATCTAGACCACAAAAGAAAAATCAAAATCAAAATCAAAACAATATAAGGACAGATGTGAGATGTAATGGCCCAGGATATATTTGTTTCTATATTTGTTTCCACAGATTTGGGGGCTTTCCTTCACTTAGTATTCAGATTTGAAACGTATATTGAGTTAGTACATGATCTTAGGAGTGCTATTCACGTGTATGATATTCTGTAATTGCAAAACGCTTAACTGAGTGGTCAAAACTAAGTCCACTGTGCATAAAACAGTACTAGGAAATTTCCATTTCTAGTTACCTATAAAATGCCTTGTAGCATACCATACCCTGGATGGCATGCCACCTCTCAGGTCTCCCCAACCACTTTCCTCAATATGTCTTCCAAAGCATTTTCTTCCACTGCCACAGGACCTTAAATTACTTGCTATGACTCAAATCACCTCAAGCATACACAGTGGCGTCTCAGGACAAACTAGTTGCTGCCATTGAAAATAAAGTGGAACCAAGCAGGGAGTCCACGATGTCTCTGCAAGTTACCTTAGCATAGCGGATCTGCAGCATGCCAGTCTCCAGCTGTTTGATCCGAGAATCTTGGGTTGAGACCAGGACTCCATCCTTTCTCCATAGAATCGTGGGCACTGGACTGCCTGTGGCCACACAGCTGAGGACTACAGTCCCATCCACTGCTACGGTCTGATTCACGGGACCTTGTCGAATGACTGGGGGAGGCCGGTCTGCAATCACTGCCAAAGGAAACAACAGGAAATAGATTTCTGCAACTGGAAGCAATTTTCTAATCATCTGAGCAACAGCCATTGCTGTAGGCTTTGAAAAAAAAAAAAGATAATTAAACAAGTAATTAAAGTGGAGACATGCATTATTCAGAATGCATTTACATGATGCACTGATTAGGAGTATTAAAATGAGATACAATGCAGGCCGTTCAAATGACCAACTAGGCCTGAGCATGCTGCGTTATTAGGGACTGATCTAAGGGTTCAGAAATGGAATAAGAGAGGTGGCTGGTGAAGAAGGCATAGACTGATGACAACAGAATACTGTAAACATGAAAAAGCACAAGAAACATTCAGCACATTTATCCCATAGAAATGGATGAGACAGAATTTAATGAACGAATCCTGCCAACTTGATTTCATAATTGTTTTGTCTCCAACAACAACCATCATTACCGCGAAATGAGGCTGCCATGGCAGAATGGTTCTCAATTTTGGATTGAAAAAGGTGCTTTGGACTTTCATTTATAGAATCAAACTTGCTGTCTTTTTAATCTCTCTCTCTCTCTCCTCTTTCTTTCTCTCTTTGGGATGTGTGTGTATGCACCTGTGTGTGCATGGGTGTATGTATGTCTGTGTGTGTGACATAAGGGCACACTCACATATGTGGGTGGTGTCCATGCATGACTCCTATGTATGTGAATGCAGAATTGGGTGTCATCCTACACTGCTCTCTGCTTTATTTACAAGGTGGTTCTCTTCCTGAACCACAGATTTTAGGTTCGGCCAGTCCAGAGAGTCAGCTTGTACTGGAAATCCCCACTCATCTCTCGAATGCTTGGATTACTGGCTCACCATCTCACCCACTCAACTTTTACATTGGCTCTAGGGACACAGGCTCCAATCCCCACATTTGTGAGGCAAATGCTTTATCCATTGAGCAACAGCT